GAGCCTGTTTCCGATTCTGTGTCTCCTTCTCTCTCTGACCCTCGCCCGTTCATGCTCTGTCTCTCTCTGTCCCAAAAATAAATAAACGTTGAAAAAAAAAATTAAAAAATAAAAAATAAAAAAAAAATAAAATAAAATCACACCCACCCAGACTTCAGCAGTCCCAGCTGGCCTCCTGCCGCACGCTGGCGCAAGGGCCCCTGACCGGGCGGTACGGGGACCGGTCTCAGAAGCGCTTCTGGGCAGGCCCTGGCCTTGCCACCGGGTCTCTGTGTGAGGGGAGCTGTCAGGAATGCAGAGTTCCGGCAACTGGAACTTGTAGACCATCGCCCTGCACATTTTAGGTTAATAGGTTGGACACAGCAGAGATCACGTCGTATCTTCTGAAGCTCTAGGCCCTGATAAAAAGCAGAGAGGACCGCTGAGGATTGCTGGCTTAGTTGTTCCAGAAGTTAACTGCTCCTCCCAGGCGCTCTTGCCGGTGGTTTCTGGCGCAGGCATCTTTGCAGCCGTTGGTCGTATCTGATGGTCCTTTTGTAGGCAGGTGACAGAGTGAACTGGGCGGGCCAGAGGCCAGTTAAGGGAGGGGCTGTCGAGCAGTATGTAGATTTGGGGTGTACGTCAGCAGAATGGGGGTGCAGTTACCTCAGACTGGCTGTTTTGTGCAGGCTCGCCTGGGCCAGAGATCTGGCATTGGGCTCGCCGTTACAGGTTTGCCGTGTCGCTCTGCCTCTGTCAGGAGGTGACACGTGGCACGCGAGGCGGTGACATTTGTCGTCAGGGCTTTTCCCAAGTCCTCTCTGATGTACCTTTGAAGAGTTGGTTCTGCTCTTCCCGAGATGAATAATTTGGCTCTCTGACTTTTTAGGGGAGTAGATGTTGGCCCTGTGGGAAGAAATAACTCTGTTCACGGTTTTTCAATAGGCGGTGCCTCTTTCCACACGGATAGGATTTTGTGGCTGGCCACGGACACTTCGTCATCCCTGTCGTCATTCTTAGCCCACCTTTTCCGAGTGGTTTTAATGAAGCTCAATTATGAATCAGGAAATTACAAATTGAAAAGTTACGAATCAAAAGATCGTGAATCAAAAAGCTATAAGTCAAAAAGCCATGAATCAAAAGGTATTTAAATAATTTTTTTCCTCCTTTTTCCACCTAATCATGCTTTCAAGGTGGAGAAAGCACCGCTTTTCCTGCGTGGCGCTTTATCCACGTTGCTCCTCTCACGCCCTTTCCGCGGACTTTCTCGTGCTTTGTTCGGGTCTTCCTATAAGGGGCTCATGGAACTCTCTAACATGTGCTGCTTTGGTTCTGTTTTCTGAAAGCGGACCAGCGCTTAAATGTTTTTCAAGTCACTTTTTAAAAAGTTAACGTACTCCACTTTCGATTCGTATTCCCTCTTGAAGGCAGAAGTAGCTTATTTGAATGGCACTTAGAAGGTAGTGGTCTCCGGCCGTCTTTGAGCAGGCCGGTCCGTCTCTGTTGCATTGGCTGTGGGTGCCTTGCTCGCCCAGGTGGGGCCCGCGCACGAGTGTCTCCCTGGCAACGCCCCGTCGCCCCGCCTCCCCTGCGCGGCTGCGCCGTGGGCCGGCCTGAGGCCCGCGTGCTTGGCCTCGCGTGCCCTCCGGCCCGAACTCCGCCTCCGCGAGCGTCTCTGAGCCTTTTTTGCGTGTATTGCAGCTCTTTCCGGTCACTGTGGGACAGTGGATGTAGGAGGGCTTCTCAGAGAGGACGGCCGCGTCAGTGTAAACGGGGAGTCCCCGTGTAAGTATGGCCGCGCCGCGGGTGGGACGCTGGGCACTGGCGGGGGCTGCCGCAGGTGGTGGCGCGAACCCGTGGACACGGCCCCACGGCCCCCCGGGCGCGCAGCCCTCGCGGGTTAGCGCGGGCCGACCCCTCGTAAGAGGCGCCGGCAGCCCCAGATTGCGTTTGCTGTGACATGTCCGTGCATATATTTTCCTGCGTAATTGAGTTTCCTAATGTTTGCGAACCGCCATTGTTGTGCACAGTCGAGATTGAGCAGGTCTGCGTGGTAATCTGTCAAATTAACTGCTTGTCACCACCACCCACAGGCGATGGCCGTGAGGGGAAGAAGCTCCTTGAAACGCACACAGACATCCGCTTGCGGTCCTCAAGGCCAGAGAGGGTGGCGGGGGCCATTTGGCACGTCTTTTCTTACGCAGGTTGTGTCTCACACCTTTTTGTTTTGTTCTTATCACGTTCTTCGCAAATGCTGTGGCTCCCTGTTTGTTTGTGTTGTAAAAACTGACAGGAAGAGTACTGACTTTAGCTTGAAATACAGAGAATGTCTCTGTCGGAAAGCTCCTTTGGAACGTATCGAGTGCAGGCTAAACGTCTGAGAAGTAACCTGCTTGAGGTGACACGACGGGTTAGAAAGGCTGGTCGTCCTCCCGGGTGGAGCTCAGTAGGAGCCGTTGCCCTGTGCATCGCTCCCGTGACCGCCGTGTCCTGAGCCTTTGCGGCAAGGACGTGTACGTGCACAATTACATGTTTTCTAACTTACACCCCTAAGTTTCTTGCTAAAGGGGCACCTTTTTTAGAGTTTTTTTTTAAGCTAAACTCCAAAAGTAATGGCCTCTTAACTGTATTAACAGTTAAAACATACGGTTTTAACAGTATTAACTGTACCGTATTAACAGTTAAAACATAAAATGATAGATTAAGAACTCCTGTTCCACGATGTTTCTTTTCCTCTCAGGCATGTTGGAATTAACAGCGTCAGGAGTCAACGCGCAAATGCGTATATAACTTTCAGCAGTTTTTCTGCCTTATGTGATGCGTGGTGTTTGATAACCAAAGTCTATCATGTTAGTCTGTTACCCAGTGGTACTGCCGTTTGTCATTCCAAAATACTTTTTCACTAGGAAGTGCTAACTTGTAGAATGATCAAGTGAAGACCAAGTCTATGGTTTTGGAGTCACCGTGGTCTCACCTAGAGCACGTTAAACTGCTGGTGTCCACAGATTTTATCTGTTAGCTCCAGCGGTGGGCGTGGGGGTAGCTGCCCGCCACCCTCAGGGCTTTCTGTAGGGGAGTCTGCCTTCCCTGCGTTGGGAGGAAGTGAACGCGGCGGCGTTTCATAATTGAATTTCAGAATCTCGCTCGGACTTAAATAGTTGATCATTTCTTCTCTTTGAGAAGAGGCTCTTGACGTAACTGATTTGAGAGTCTTGGTAAAATGGATCCCAGTGGGAATTTCTTGTACTGTAACTATGGAGAGCTGGTTTTCCGGTGTGAGTTTTGAGTGTGCCCCTCTTGCACACGTCTTGTCTATCACAGGTCACCTCTTGGTACAGATGCTGCAGAGGATTGGAGCTTCCGGATGGTTTGTGTCGAAGACACTGTTGTCACTCCTTTGGTTGGCCGTGGTTGCTCCAGGTGGTTATTCTGGCTCTCTGTGTTAGCGCTCTCTCCAGGGCTTTGGGCAGCTAGCGCCTGCAAGAGATGACTTATCTAACCAGATGAAAGTTTCATTTCAGGGCTACGTGCTTTGATCCTTGACATAACATGTTTCGTTCTCGGTTGCGTAGAAGTGCTAACACACTGTGTTCTCGGGTGTGTGAGGGTGTGTGAGCGTCTTCGTCTCTCCTCTGTGTTGTGTCCCGTGTTAAGTCTAGCTGCTTGCGTTAACTGTAATTGAGAATGCATGAATTTGGGGTTTCCCCTTTTTATCATTGTTCTGTGGCTCTGTCAGCATTCCATATTGCTTTGTGCTTATGACGTCCCTGTGTTTGACTGTATGGATATTCCTGCCGTGACGATCGGCATCTTAATGTGCGCCATCCCTAATTTCATCTAAGCATACTTACGTGATATTTGTTTGCACGTTGCCTTGTGCTCTCTTTTGGCCTTCACGAAAACTGTCTATTTAGGAATTTGATTTCCCGAAGACCATTTCTTTAGAATGTTTGGTGTTTTCTCTTTTAGGGAAGGCAGCCTCTGGAATATTCTGGTGGCTAGGGATTGGATGGTACCAGTTTGTTACTTTGATTTCTTGGCTGAATGTGTTTCTTCTTACAAGGTAAGAAAACCAGTATCATGTCAACTCAATGTTTTTTGTTTGTTTTTAAACATTTATTTATTTATTTATTTATTTATTTATTTATTTATTTAATTAATTTATTTAGAGAAACAGCAAAGGGGGAAGGGCAGAGAGAGAGAGGGAGAGAGAATCCCAAGTAGGCTCTAGGCTGTCAGCAGAGAGCCAGATGCAGGGCTCAGACTCATGAACCATGAGATCATGGTCTGAGCTAAAGTCAAGAGTCAGACACTTAACCAACTGAGCACCCTGGGCGCCCCTCAACTTGGTGTTTTAAAGAACTGACTTTGTGGGATGCCTGGGTGGCTCAGTCAGTGAAGTGTCCGACTTCGGCTCAGGTCATGATCTCGTGGTTCGTGAGTTCGAGCCCTGCGTCAGGCTCTGTGCTGACAGCTCAGAGCCTGGAACCTGCTTCAGATTCTGTGTCTCCCTCTCTCTCTGTCCCTCCCCCATTTGCACTGTGTCTCTCTCAAAAATAAACGTTAAAAAAAATTTTATAATAAAATACTGACCTTGTGCTAATTGCAGGACATAATTTGATTTGTTGGGTTTTTTGTTTGGGTTTTTTTTGTTTGTTTTTATTTTTTTTTAATTTTTATTTTTTTTACTGTTTATTTATTTTTGACAGAGAGCATGAGTTGGGGAGGGGCAGAGAGAGAGGGAGACACAGAATCCGGAGTAGGTTCCAGGCTCTGAGCTGTCAGCACAGAGCCCGATACAGGGCTCGAACTCACAGACCGCAAGATCATGACCTGAGCCTAAGTCGGACAGTCAACCGACTGCGCCACTCAGGCGCCCCTCTTTTGTTTATTTTTTTAATGTTTACTCATGACCTGAGCCTAAGTCAGACGCTTAACCGACTGAGGCCCCCAGCACCCCTGATTTGATGTTTTATAATGATTAATGTTCTATTTACATTTTTATAGTTCAGTATATTAATGTCTTGCCTATTTTATATCACTTTATTTTTATTTCTTAATTTTTGAGAGAGAGACGGCACACGCATGTGTGCACACGCCTTTGAGGGGGAAAGGGGCGGAGGGAGAGGATCCTAAGTAGGATCCTGATGCAGGGCTTGGTCTCCCAACTGTGAGATGATAATCTGAGCTGGAATCCAGAGTTGGATGCTTAACCCACTGAGCCGTCCGGGCGCCCCTGTGTCACCTAATAGTTTACAAAGTGCTTTCGTGTTTTTATTTAATCTTTCAGACCACTTCTGTGAGAAAGGAAAGGCACTGTCATTCTCAGAGTACAGGGGTGACCCAGGTCGGGAGGGGGATGGTCAGGACTGGGAGCCAGACCGGGCAGTTCCTCCGGCTCCCAGTGACCTTAGTGTGGCTAGTGACCAAAGCTCTTTAGTGCCCTGCGTGGCACCTTGCATGCCAAGAGTTAGTGAATATAGTCGATGGTTAATATGGGCCAGGAGACATCATTTTATGGACAGGCTCCCCTGTAGGCGCCGAGGGGGTGCCTGGCTGGCTCAGTCGGGGAGCCTGCGATGCTGGAGCTCTGGGTTATGCGTCCAAGCCCCACGTTAGGTGTGGAGCCTACTTTGCAAACAGACAGACAGCTGTAACTGCATTTCTAATACTGTCGACTTTCATTTTGAGATAAGAGGGGGGTTATTTGGTATGAAATTACGCAGAGAGGTAAAATGGAATGGCGATCCTGCCCTTTCTTTTTCCAAGGTAATATTTTTCTTCTTATTCCTAGGTGCCTTCGAAACATTTGCAAGTTTTTAATCTTGTTCATTCCATTATTACTTTTACTAGGTAAGTAGAATTCGACCTACTTACCTCAGATGATTAACGGACACACGTAAAGGTGAAAGGAGGGAAAGGGCTGCGGACCTCGGTGCACGTTGCGCAGAGCGTTGTCTGCACATGCACGTGCAGCTTGGTCCCTCTCCTCTTCTAGGTGCAGGTCTGTCCCTGTGTGGCCAGGGACACTTCCTGTCAGGCCTTCCTGTGTTCAACTGGACACGTGCGCACGGAACCCAGAGGGTGGACATCCCTGAGGGCACCTTCACACCTGATGCCCCTCATCTGAGCCAGCCGCCAGAGGTAGCCACCCAGGAAGCCCCCTTCTCCGGCCTTCCCCATCCGTCGTCCTCCCAGTAGGTTTTCGTACTGCTGGGAACAGGTGCCCTGCCCTGTGTTAGAAAGTATGTTTAAACATCAGATAGGCAAGGCTTAAGACTTGCTCCTTAAATGTTCGGAGATAGTTTGGGTAATGCCTATTTAAATTTTCTCATTCTGTTAATTTTAATTAAAAAAAAAAAAGCGTTTACTACTTTGGAAAATACAGAGTGTATGAAGAAGAAAATACAACCCCCCATGTCTGCCACGTGGGGAAAATCCCTGATGACGGCCATCGTCACGCTGTGTATCCGTAGCGTTTAGGGGACCTTTCACTGCAGTGTTTGGTTTGTGCTTTTGACTCAAAATTGCACTTCAGATTATTTGACGCCAGACGGAGTTCTCCATTTGTGTTGCGGTTGGAACTTGCTGTCCCTGTTGTAGGGCGGCGGCGAGGCTTTCCCCCGGCGTCCGATGAGCGAGGTGGAAAGGCAGGTGGCCTCGTTGTCTGGACAGTGTCACGGCCACGACGAGAAGCTCCGAGAGCTGGCGGCTGTGCTTCGGAGACTGCAGGCGCGGATAGACCAGATGGACGGAGACGGCGGCGGGACCCTGTCCCTGGTTAGAAGAGCGGTGGGGCGGCCTTCAGGGGCCACACGTGCTGGCGGACTGTCGGGCTCCGAGGTTGTGCCCAGCAGTTCCCCAGGGTCTGTTCTCTTCGTGGGGATGAAGAGTGGGAGAGGCACGGAGGGGACAGGTGGCCGTGCCAATCGGTCGTTGGGAG